AAGCCCAAGCACTGATAGTGCAGAGCCCTATGCAGGGCTCGAACTCACAAACAGTGAGGTCATGATCTGAGCTGAAGCTGGACGCGTACTTGACTGAGCCACCCAGGTGCCCCTCTATGATAGTTTTAGTATGTTCTCCTGAAGCTACCAGCTCACAATGCGTCCCTTTTCCTGTTGACCAACTATTTTTTTTTTAGGTCTTACATTTCTTTTTTTGTGGTTTTCCTTCACAGAGTTATTACTTATATATATATTTTTTTAGTTTATGGTAAAATATTTAATCACAATTTTCGTTTGCCTTGTGGCCTCATTTTTCCACTAACAATTTTTGTTAATAAGCACTGCTACACATTCTTTTCCTTGTCTTCAATGTTGTGTGTGTTCCTTCTTTATTACTCATCATCGAGTCCATCAGAGTTTTTTGACCAGCTCCTGGGAGTACGCAGAGCAGGGAGAATGCTCGTGCAGTTCAGCCGCCACCAAGGGAGACCATCTCCTGAAAATGTGCCATCCACACTGTCATCTGTGAACTTCTTCCAGTTCTCTGAATTAAACTGAGTTCAGGAGGACAACCGCCGGCCTTGCTCACCAGTTTCTGTATCTAATGTTGCAAACACTGGTTAGAGCTTTTGTCTCCCTCACATTCAGAAGCTGTCTCTTGTGCTGGCTTTCCTGAGAGCTACCCCCACTCCATGCTCTTCACTTCCTCTTGCTTGGCTTCTGCCCAACCCACCAACTGTTTTTTTTTGTTAGCCTTAATACATATTTTGAAATTTAGAGATATGTATCTACTAGTTTGCCAAAAATAGAGTTTGGGAGATTCTCCTTCTTCTTTGTGTGCGTTTTTTTTAATTGTTTTGGATTTTTAATTGTTCTCCTTAGTTTTTTCCTTTTTTAAGATTTCCAAGGAAAGAAATGAACAATGCTGACATATATACACACTTTTATACAGAAATACCTAGGCTGACCCTAATATTCATAACCAATACTCCGAGGAAAAAGGAAAGAAAGAGACAGACATAAGAGGAGAATAAGGCAGAACAAATTATAGGAAATTTGCCTATAATTTTTAAGATATAGAGTAACATACCAAAAGTGGATGATGGTATGATTTCTCTGTGTCATAAAACCTGGTTTCACAGCTGACATATATATTTTTTTTCCTCAGTGGCTCAAGAATTGATAGGATTAGAAAAGTAAGGCTGTTAGGATTATAGATATGTGCCAATAGTATGGCAAGAGACCCCAAACATAAATAAATAAATATAAATAAACAACTATGCACATGCACATTTGTTTGTACCAGATATACAGAGAGACAAACAGATGTTACCTATTTATCAGATAATTACATAGATGAGAACTACACAGGGCATGTACCAGTGCAGTCACACAGGGATCCACAATTCAGAAAGGCTCGTGCTTGGGGTTTGAAGTTCTATGGCAGCTATCTTGAAATTCTTAATAATTTTGTTATGGAATTTGTATTTTGTATATGAAGGCCAATGAGACAGAGGAACACGTGTTAGGGCTCAGAGTCTTGGCTCACACACAGTCCCACCACTTCCCCCAACCAGTTCCGGGGAACTTAGTTCTCTGTCCCCTGGCTCCCCAGACCTCCTACTCCTTCCCGCTTCTGCCCAGTGACTACTGCTGCCCCAGGGGCAAGCATGAAAAGGGCTGGAACTGGGTATGTATACCTGCGGTGTCTCAGCATGGGACATGGGGGTAGCTGCCTGCACCCCAGGGTGGCAGTGCCCTGATGCATTTGGTAGGTGACTCAGTGGGGACGATACACTTGCTCACCCCAATCCAGCTGCCAAGTGTGTCCTGCTCTAGAGACTGCAATACACTTGGCAGTCACCAGTCCCCTGGGGGTTGGGGCAGTAGGCCCATCAAAAGGGGTGAAGCCGGTCTCAACTTCTCTACCTCTGGCCAGAGAGGGGCAGGCACATCGGCCCAGTCTGGACACAGCTAATGGGCTGTGTGTTCAGTAAGTCATAGTGTGGGGTCCCCAGGACATGTGAGGCTCTACACTTGCCTCATGAATATCCCCATGTCTGAGGGGGCATGACATTAAATAACAAATAAAAAACACGTTGACAGGTCAAGAAAAAGAATCTATGAAAGAAAATAAAAAAAGCTTTATATTTTTATGCCTTAAATGGCATTTTTTCATGCTTTCTGAACAAGAGGCCCTGCATTTTCGTTCTGCATTGGCCCCACAAATTATGTCCTATGCATCGCAGATTTTGAAGGTTCTGAGAGTGCGCCCCTACATTCTTGAAAGATGATAACCATGCCCTTCTCCAAAGGTGACCCGGAATCATGGTCAAGGCCAGGTTGGTGAATGGTCACTCAAATACATACAGTGTTTAATCTCTCCATATGTTGCTACTTCTACTCTAGTCAACTGCCTGTTACCTTCTCAGATCATAAATAACACTGGACAACTATAAAGAATTCAAGGAACAACTGGTCCAACTTTTGCTGCCTCTACATTTAAATCATGAGGCTTCTTCTCTAATCACATAAAAATGTCCAAAAGAATCACCTTGGAAAACTAAGACAGTATGATTAAAATGAGCTGGAAGCAAATATTCTCTAGAGCAGTCAACATGACTCCAAATTCCTTTTACTACCTTTATAGAGGAAATTTCTCCAGTAACCACAATAAACATAAGGCAAGGGAATAAAATGTCCACTGTAGAATTTCTAAGGGGACACGTAACATTTGGGTAGACTCATTTTATTATGCATTTAGAGTAGTTCACAAGACAAACACTAATATATTATAATCTCATTTTTAAAAACCTGATAACTTCCTACACTTCTGCTTTTTCAGAGGAAAAGAAAATTGCTATGTTAAAAGAAAATACAAGCTTTTTCTTAATATTTTCTTCCTTTAAGTACCATTAAGATACGTGCCCCTTCAGGTAAGAGCTTGGCAATCTAAAACCAGCCCATAAAACTACCAGAAGAGCTTTTCCTAATACATTCTTCTCTTCTTCCTGACAGAGATATAAGAAGTACCTAGTGCTTTCTTCTACTTCTCCAGGAAAAATATCATTTTTAAAAGGATAGAGGGGAAAATCCTAGAAAATCTTGGCAGAAATGAAGACCATAATATAAATAAAAATGTTTGAATATGTGAATTAATAGTTTTAAGACAAGAGACAAGTAATACAAATGGTTAGCAATACAAATACCAAAAAAGGAATAAAACTTAACACTGTCAAATCACATTTTAAAAGCCTGAGTAATTTTCCCAGAAAAATGAAAAAGGGAAAAGGAACCATTTAATGTACGAACACACAATACTTCTCCTAGAATACTACACTCCTCCTGTCCTTCTTTCTTGTTTATACGAGAGTAAGATGAAGGGCGATATAGGAGTAAAAAAATACTTGGGATGCTGTGATGTGCTTTGTTTTCTCACAGCCTTAGATGGAGGGTTTCTGGCTTCTTTCTCCTCCCCTCTTTGTTCCTAAGGCGATATCAGTGGAGGGGCAAAGATCTGCCCCCTCCCCTGCTCTCCTCTCCCTGCTCCTGGTTTGGCTTTCACTCTCACCACAGTGATAATCTCTTCTGTTTTCTCTGCAGTGAATCTGTAACTTATAACTCTCTAGATCCTTGTCTTTCATTCTTTCATCTTGCAACTCTTCTGTCCTTTAATTATTCCCTCTTTTGTTTACATCTGCCTGTGTCTCATAACTGCTGGAACACAAGGGCCATGCTAGAAGCAAATGGGCACTTCCTTTCATACGTACAGGCAAACCTTGTTTTATCACACTTCGCTTTACTGCACTTTACAGATAATTGCATTTTTTACATATGGAAGGTTTGTGTCAACTCTGCATCAAACAAGTCTATCGGTGCCATTCTTTTTAACACAGCATTGGCTCACTTTGTGTCTCTACCTCACAGTTCAGTAATTCCTGCAATATTTCAAACATTTCATTAATATTATATTTGAATTGCTGAGATCTCATGATAAAATATTAATGGGTAAGAAGCTCCTTCTTATGAATGAACAAAGAAAGTGGTCTCTGGAGATGGAATCTCCATCTGGTGAAGATGCTGTGAAGATTGTTGAAATGACAAGAAAAGATTTAGAATACTACATAAATTTAGCTGATAAAGCTGATAAAGCTGACTCCAATTTTGAAAGAAGTTCAACTGTGGGTAAAATGCTATCAAACAGCATCCCATGCTACAGAGAAATTTTTCATGAAAGGAAGAGCTGATCAATGCAGCAAGCTTCATTACGGTCTTATTTTAAGAAGTTGCCATAATCGCCCCAAACTTCAGGAACCACCACCCTAATCAGTCAACAGCTATCAACATGGAGACAAGAGTGTCCACCAACAAAAACATTACAATTTTGCTGAAGGCTCAGATGATGATTGGCATTTTTAAGCAACAAAATATTTTCAAATTAAGGCATCATTGTCTTTTGGACAGAGTGCTATTTGCACACACTTAACAGATAACAGTATAATGTAAACATAACTTTTATATGCACTGGAAAAACCCAAAAATTCATTTGCCATGCCTTACTGTGGTATTTGCTTTGTTGCAGTGGTCTGGAACCAAACCCACGACATCTCCAACGTATGCCTGTACATTAATTATATTCCTCAGCTTTACCCAGTCGTCTCCACAAAATCCCATCCAACCATTATATGTACTGCTTCATGTCATGTGAGATTAAAAGAGACACAAAATTAGATTAATCACTAGAATCTAATCTAGACTGTTCTTTACAGACCAGCTTCTAAAATCAATGTGAGAATAAATAAACAGGTCTCAAACATGCCCACATTTATTTAGCTTCTACCTGTTTGGCCTAGTCACAATGTTTGCACGCTTTCCAACAGCACACTTTCCAGCATGAAGCTGGGCAATTAGTTCTCAAACCCAGGAAAGAAGGGATTAAATAATTTCAGATTGAGAATGGTGGTCATGATAACTCATACCACCCAAAAAGGCAATCATACCTTCGTAATTGCAGTGAAGACCTTTTCCAGAATGGCATTGGGCTGGGCAATCTGTGGTCCATTGGCCTGAATGTTGAGGGCGATGGCACATGGTTTGGCTACAAATCTTAAAAATAAAATAAAATAAAATAAGGTCAGAAGAAGTTATTCTTTCTATAACTTTTCTTAATGTCACCAATTAATCACACATTACCCAATTGTCCCAATGAAGTGCTGGGTGGACACTGCTGACATTCATTCATCAGTCAATGTAAAACAGATTTAACTTTTCTTCTCTCCTATAGGCCTCCAACAGTGACAGTAAAAAAGAAATCCTTTTAGAACATTGAAATCTCCTGATCCTTAAGTTCTAATGTGATTGAACAGGTAGAAAGACTACCAGATGACAAATATAAGACCATAAATGAGATATATGAACCAAACAAACCATCATTTTAAAACGATTTAACTTATACTTTTCTTACTAACATCTCACTAACAATTGTCATGTTACACCTTCCACGATGACAAAGTGTTTACTAATCATCTGATTACACATGGAGAATGTACCTTTGATCACTCCTACCTCATAAAATTGGCCATTTTTGTCTCTAAAATCCAAATGCATTATATTCAGCCCCAATTCTTTATTTTTTTTTTTTTAATTTTCTTAAATGTGTGTTTATTTTTGAGAGAGAGACAGAGTGTGACCAGGGAAGGAGGAGAGAGAGAGGGAGACACAGAATCTGAAGCCAGATCCAGGCTCTGAGCTGTCAGCACAGAGCCTGAAGTGGGGCTCAAACTCACAAACCCTGAGATCATGACCTGAGCCGAAATCAGATGCTTAACCCACTCAGGCCCCCCCGGCGCCCCAGCCCCAATTCTTTATGGCTTCTTAAAATTCTTGCTTTGTGGTTATTTGTGTCTTTAAGTTTATTTTTTAAATTTATTTTGAGATGGGAAGGGGGCAGACAAAGAGGGAAAGAGAGAATCTCAAGCAGGCTCCATGCTGTCAGCACCGAGCCCAGTGTGGGCTCAATCCCACAAACCACAAGATCATGATTTCAGCTGAAATCAAAGAGTTGGTTGCTTAACTGCCTGGGTCATCTAGGCGCCCCTGTGGTTATTTGGGTCTTTCTCGTAAGGAGTAATGAAGGATGTCAGATAGCACGATGTCCCAGACAAGCTGAAAAGTCTGAAATGATTACAAGCATCGCTGCACTGTTTTTATCCTAAGCAAACGACTATGTCCAGAAGAATGGGAAGCCTTCGCTTCATTTCTGCTTGTGCTTGACATGTGAAGGAGGCACTGAAGGAGCAGCAGAGGGCAGGGGGCCCCAAAGGTATGCTGACATCTCTGAAACTTTTTTTTTAAGCACTTACAACTTTAATAAGAGTTGTTTTAGACTAAGTGTTCAAGAAATAAGGTTTTGTGAATGTTCCTTTTCAGTAGTGACGTTGAACATTTTCTACTAATACAAAATAATAAAACATCAGATGAAAGTATTACCCAAGTTAACGTTGGCGAAAGGCAACAACTGATAAATGTACAGAACAGATCATGAAGCTTCTTTAGTAACAGTTGATGAGATTAAAGAATAGACAAAGGAACATTTTTTAAGTGGGATGAATGAAGTTTACATATATACACCACATAATATCTCACTGGGTCCTATTTCAAGTTAAAGAGAAGACACTTACTTCAACAGGAAAATGGAATACTGTACATGCAAGCCTCACCCAGGAAAGATATACACAGAAAATGTAATATAATACCTGTTTTGCTGGTTCTCTGGAACAAAGCTGGGAAGAAGGACTTACCACCTTTCCTAGTATGTAACTGTTCTAGAACTGGAGTTTTCCCCAAATTTTCATTCTCAATTCTTTTTTTTTTTTAATGTTTATTCATTTTTTAGAGACAGAGAGAGACAGGGCACAAGCAGGGTAGGGGCAGGGAGAGACAGAGGGAGACACAGAATCTGAAGCAGGCTCCAGGCTCTGAGCTGTCAGCACAGAGCCTGATACGGGGCTCAAACTCATGAACCGTGAGATCATGACTGGAGCCAAAGTCGGACACTTAACTGACTGAGCCACCCAAGCGCCTCTGCATTTTCAGTTCTTTTTAATGTAAAATATTCTAAGACATATTACCTATGCCACTACCTTCTTAAAGAGAAATGTAATATTTTTCAAATAATTCTGGGTCTTCACTATGAACAATAATCTTGGAACTACAGCTACAGCTACAGCTAGTGGAAAGAAGTGATGTTTCATGGATAAGGAGCAAACAAGTCCAGAACTTGTTTGCTTGACAAAGTTTCCTGCTTTGTGGGTTTTTTTTTCCTCTTCACCATAAGGAGTATGAAAAGATACAAGGTCCAGCAAGAGTGGGATGAAAAGGTAAACAGCAAAATTAAATTGGCATAAGAGCCAAAATCAACCTGTCATTGGTTGCCTTCTATTACTCTTCCCTGTTGGATTTCTCTCCGGCCTTCCTTCATCTTCCCCATCCCCACAACTCCTGAATATTATTCAAATTTCCTTTCTGAATTTGCCATTATCCTTGTAACATCCTTCTGTTCTAGTACATGGTTTTCTTTCCATCTTCTAAGAGTTAAGAGTATGAATGGAGAGGATAATCTTTTCACCTCTGAATACACCATGAAAATCGTTAGGCGTCGGCAGGAGGGGGTCAATAAATGACCAACTGGCTGTCTTCAGTAAATATGTGTTCATTGTTGCTACCACTGTTCTGAGTGCTGTTGACAAGTTAACAGACCTTCTCTGTGTGCCTGATGAGTGGGCAAGCAGTAGGAGAGTCAAGAAATTCACTCAATAGAATTTATTCAAAAGCCACTTCCCCACCTTTGCTATCATGCTGCAATAACTTACAAAAGCATTCAAAAGGTTTTTTAGTGTCTAACACAATGCAATGCCTTATGTATTTCTCCTTCTCTTTTTAAGCCTCAAACCACGTTTTAAAAACTCTTCACTGAATTTCAAGAACAAATGCAATGGCACCTTGAAGAAGGCATATCTCTTGATCACCAAACTTATCAAATTTTGGTAATCAAAATTATCACTTAAATATGATGCTCTGTAAACAGATTTTTTAAAGCAAAGTCCAAAGGAGAGGGTAGAAATAATGTCTGCTACAATCTGGCTGTGGCACCCTAGCTGCAGTAATCTCTCTGTGCCTCAATCTCGGCATACATAAGAAAATTAATAACTACATATGTATATAAGTTGTGTGTGTATATAAACATAAGTGTATGGTGAAACGTTATGTCACACGGTTTCTTTGTCTACATTTTTGATGTGTGCCATCTGTATGGTTTCATACTGTATAGTGTTTACACAATCATGACTTCTCTGGGCCCAGAAACCCACTCAGCTTCAACTGCACTGTGCTAAGCCATGGGCACCCAGTGAGTTCTAATGGTACCAAGCAAACAAGGCCAGAAACCTAAACAGGCAATTGAAAAAGACAAGGGTCATCAGATAGAGTAATCGCTTGCCTCAGTCAAAGCCATCCACAGAGCACCGGTGTTGACTCCACCAACTTCTCATTAGGTGCTCTCTTTTCAACTTACCTAGCATACACAGCTAGGCACTTCATTTCTAAGATTTAAAAAACTTCAGGGGCGCTTGGGTGGCTCAGTCGGTTAAACGTCCGACTTCATGTCAGGTCATGATGTCACAGTTCGTGGGATCAAGCCCCACATCAGGCTCTGTGCTGACAGTTCAGAGCCTGGAGCCTGCTTCGGATTCTGTGTCTCCCTCTCTCTCTGCCCCTCCCCTCCTTGTGCTCTGTCTCTTGCTCTCTCTCTCTCTCAAAAATAAACATTAAAAAAATAAAAAATAAAATAAAAAACTTCTAAAGATAGGCAGAAAAGATGTAATCTCAAATGAGAGAAGAAAGAAAGACCTATTTTTTATTTTCCTAATAGCATCCCTAATTATATGAAAAGACAGAAATTTTATTTGCATTTATTCTCCAAAGAATTTGTGAAACACTGCTGGGCATTTTTTTTTCCAGAGAGTGTTAGAAACCACATAAAACCTATGACACAACTGCCATAATTTTGTTACCTATCGTCATGGTCCATTAAAGAAAAGATGGATTTTTTTTTTCAATGCTGGCTCTAACAGAAATAAGGTCACAAAAGCTGTCTTTCACGGGTTTGTCGAGACAGAAAGACAGATGGGGGGTAGGGGGGGAGTCCCTACAAATACAATAGTTAAAAGGAAATATGTACTTTCAAACTTTGATGAGTACCTCTACCAGGAAATGCTCACCTAATTACTTTTTTATCAAAGGCAGCAACACAGCCTTCACAAGATCAAACATCTATAAAGTACTTTCATGTAGTAGAACATATGTGCAAGGAAACATAATCAGGATGTGAACTTTGAAGAATACTAATCTCAATTTAAAACAGAGAAAATACTTAAGACATTTCTACCTTTTAATTCTATTTAACGACAGGTATTTGTACTTTAAAAATGAACTGAATGAAAATCACTGCACAGGGCACCAGGTCAGCTCTGGGCTGTGGTGTGGATAAAGGTACACACAAAACATGAGGCGATTACTGCACTCAAAATGTTTACAGTATGGTAAAGGAAATTAATTTGAAAAGCAAATAAATGTTTACAGGGTAAATGTTAATTCAGATCTCTTGATAGCATGTAATCATCTTCAGTGGGGAACATGGCCCGAGACTTTCAGTCCTTTCTGTCTCTAGCATTTACTACACTTTCAAAGCAGGTGTAAGGCTGCAGTGGTGGATACGTAAACCTACACATGATATAAATGCACAGAATTAAATCACACACACACACACACACACACACACACACACGCACACATGAATGAGTACATTTACATCTGGAGAAATTTAAATAAGCTCAATAGATTTTATAAATGTTGATATCCTGGTTGTAATATCACACTACAGTTTTGTAAAATGTTACCATTAGGGGAAACTGGGTAAAGGGTACATGAACTCTCAGCGTATTACTTCTTACAACTGCATGTGAATTTACAACTCTCTCAATAAAGATTTCAATTAAAAAAATAATTCGAAAAAATTATGTTTTTGCAGTATGGAGTTTCCTCAAAAA